TAAACCGACAGTTTTCTAGATAAGTTACTTCTGAACATTACTCCAAAAAATGAAATCATATTTTTTGTAAATAAAGTCAGTATCTTGGCGGGGGGTAAATAAACAATTCGAGTGTAGCAAGTGGCGCCGCTGCACTGTGTCGGTGGGAACCGAGGGGTGAACCACTTAGTTAATTCGGTGTACAAATAGTAGTTAATGCATCAAAATTAACTATTAATGTAGTTAATATATTCTGTAAATGCAGTTAATTTCAAGTTAATTCAGTTAATGTAATTTAATGTGGTTAATGCTATTAAGTTTGTTAATGTAATTAATTTACATTTAATGCCATTTAATACTACTTGAAATACTACTATAGGTAGTGGCTATATAGCATGTGAAAAAACAAATTTTGAACCTGTAGACCACGAGCCACCAATATGAAACCCTCTCCCCCCTGTGGGAATTTATGACTTATACTTTTTTTTGTTGGCGTTACCTACCAGATTAAGAATTCAATTGTTTGCCCTTTTTAAATTACAGTATATTCGGGGAAATTAAGAAATACTGAAAAATGTAAAAAAATTAATGAATTTTTTATTTTGTTCAACTAACAACATATGATTTTATAGTATCATTTGTAATCAACTGTCATTTTCTTCCTCCTCGTGTATTAAGTCGTCTAAGTTTAGTACTTCTGGTTCATCTTCATCTTCAAATTCATCCAGTTCAAAGCTTTCTGGAACGTCAAGCAGTTCGGGAGGCAACTGATCTCCTTTAATCCAATCAAACATAAGCTCACCATTCTCCAACTTCCACCCATGTCCTACTGGAGTTGGTGTGGAGGGTTTAGCTACATGTGCGTTATTCCATACGTAACATTGGTAGTTGACACGTTTTATGTGGTTTTCTAATGACGTTTTGCATGGGGGAAGTAGACTTAAATCCACACCTTTATTGTTGGGCAGAGAAAATGTAGTTGTGGGACAATACTTTTGTGAAAACAAAATCAAACCGTAGTTTGTTTATATCTGTGTATTCCTTATTACTGTACAAGCAACAGACGAATTCTTCCAGGCCGGTCAGTAACGTGCCTGTAATTGTCGGTGATTCTCCTAATGATGTAAGGATAGGTACAAACTTTGAAAACTTTTCCAATTTAGATTTCACGGACAACTTTTACAACAAGTTAATCCGTCTTCACTAGTAAAGCAAGTGCACTCTTATTACTATGTGAAAAGTAAAGATTCCTCCCATGTAAGTAGTGGACATATTTGTGCTGAGCCCATTCATTATGTAGCAGGTTAACCAGTTGTTCCTTATTTTTGCCATTAGCAAGGAATTTTTTCCAATCCTGTGGAATCTTGGTTTTAGGCCCTCTTATTAAAAACGTATTTTGCAATTCAAAAAGGGCACTGTGAATGTAGAATTGATTAGGCCCAACTTTTGGCATTGCGTATTATATGGCTAAAACTATGCACTCGACTATGCCCATATTGAATTTCATGCAATTCAGTTTATAACTAACGGAGATGTCAAAATGGCGTTCTTTATTTTTTTACGTGCATTGCCAATTCACGAACTCCGATCTATAACTCTGATAAAGAATCCAAATGCAAAATTTCATCATAATCTGCGGTCTATTCGTTTTCGTGCTAATGAACAGATCTCGGGACAGATGGACAGGCACCGCAAAATTATAAACTCTCTAGGTCCTAGGAGATCGTCAATAATTTGAAAATGGTTATTTAAAATATTTTTGCTATAAAGAATATAATAACCTGTCATATATCATTGAATTTATAGATAGTTATAAATTCAATGATATTATGTAATAATACACAGGGTGTTCCATATCAAAGTCACATTTTTGTTATCATCTGAAAAATGCGATATGGTTTTGTTTTTTTAATTGCAGATTTGAATTCGTTGGAAAAAATACGCAATTTTTATTTATATATATAGTTGGAAAAAACTTAAATATTTACCAACGTTTATTAAAAAGCACAAAATTTAATAACAAACAAAATTTGCCGAGGAAAATGTAAAACCCTAATTTAAATTAATTCACAGCTTTTTTGGGACACCCTGTATATCACCACAGGATATATTTTCATACATTTTCCGAACTAGCTATGAAGTTAATTAACCAACTCTTACGTATATATAAGTAATAAATTATGGAAAACAATTTAATACTAAATAGTACACAATACAATAGATAGTGGCGCCATCGTGCTGTATTTGTGAACTAGTGCAAAATTCGGCCTGGCAACATCCAGAATCGGATTTCAGTACATTTTTTTACATCTAAAAAACCATGTGGCCTAAATGGCTCATAAAATGCCGTTAGAACTAAGAAACAGAGTCGTTTTTCGATTTGGCCACTTAACTATTAAGTTTGGTTGAGTTAGAAGCACATTCATTTGTGAAATTTGGTTGTTCATTGTTGGGACACCCTGTATTTTATTGACTTGTTGATGAACCGTTTGACCATAGCTATCAAAATGATAAAATTCTCCGAGGGGAACGCGCTTGTTTTATTTATCAGCCAGCGTGTATTCACAAAAACAACAGTTGGCCTTCTGACCTGGTACATGTTGCGTTTCACTTAATTTATCAGAGCCCAAACAGCACATCCGTACCCCTTCACGAATAAAAAATGATGAATCTTAATTTATCTACATTTTAAATAAAATATTGTAAGCGCTCAAATCGACTTCAAATTTTCGACACGGTGATTACATTCTATTTTAAAGTTTTTTTAATTTTCGGATTTCCTCAAAAATCAAGTTAAACAATAAATGAAAAAATTAAAAAATCATAGGCCTTTGAAAAGCACGTTTACTCAGTTTTTCATTATGAGCAACTTTTCTTAAAAACCTATGTGCGTATCTCGCCCGCAAAGAGCACTTTACTGATGGTATGCAAAAAACGTTTTTTGAAAATTACAAAAGCACCCTTGATTTTTCGAAACTAAAATTATCACACAAATTAGTTGCCAACCAAGCAGGGTTGATCCGCAGAAGCTTAAAATTCAATTCGAGAAAATTCGGATTTGTCTTTTAAGGCCACCTGATATATACGGTGTCCATTTTTCGAGTGCCACTATGGGGATATCGCTTATCTTAAGAGATAGAAACTTGGTTAAATTAGGGCAAAGTTGCGAATTTTCGTGCTGAATAATAATCTAAAAAGAAATTTATAATATCTTCAATAGTTTGGAAAATATGGCAAAAAATCGAAAATTTCTGATTTTCATTTTTAAGTTTTTCATGGTAAACTAATTGTACTAGACATTTCTAATTAACACATAATTCAGACACTTTTTAATGGAGATTTCGAATATGGCATCCCGTTTTTAATAACTTTCAAGATAACGGAGAAACACGTGAAAACTTTAGTTTTTTTATGGGCGCCGTTTTGGATTTTGACATTTTGAGATTAGGTCTTTTTTTTCTCTTTACAACGATATATCACACATGGTTCAGTATCACATTTTTTCTAAAAATAAAATTTTCATTTTATGCGAAGAGTACTATGCAAAAACAAAACGTTCTTTTGTTGTGAACAAAACATTGACTTATTTCAAGCAACGTGTCATTTACGTCTGTGCTAGTTTTATTGCTAAAATATTATTTATTTTTCATTTGCCTATTATATGTGAATTATATCTGTCATATGTGATATATAAAAGCAGTCTATTATGCTTTACTTTAATGTTGGGCGACTTACAATCCCTCGGGCTCTGTCGCACTCGGCATAAATATCGTCTTAATGCCCTTGATGCATAAATAACTATTATTCTTATGTATTTTGTTCTAATTTGAATTATAATTTTCAGAATTTTCTGCAAAACGAAGGTTCAATTCTGTTCATATGAAAATCGAATTTTCTCAACACATCTAGTTCCCTGATGCCAACGCTGCAACCGGACATATGCATCAAACTGTCAAACTTTTGTTCACAATAAAAGAACGTTTTGTTTTTCCAAAGCACTCTTCCAAAAAAATTAAATATTGTATTTTAGGAAAAATGTGATACTGAACCACCATGTGTGATATATCGTCGTAAAGAGAAAAAAAGACGTAATCTTAAAATCTCAAAATTAAAAATGACGCTCATAAGAAAAATTAAAGTTGCCACGTGTTTCTCTGTCATCTTAAAAGTTATTTAAAACGAGATGTCACATTCGAAATCTCCATTGAAAAGTGTTCGAATAATGTGTTAATTAGAAATGTCTAATACGACTAGTTTATCATGAAAAAATTAAAAACGAAAATCAAAAAGTTTCGTTTTTTTGCGATATTTTCAGAACTATTGATGATATTTTAAATTTCTTTTCAGATGGTTATTCAGCAGGGAAATTCGCAACTTTGCCCCCATTTAACCAACTTTCTCTCTCTTAAGGTAAGTGAGATCCCCATCGTGGCACTTGAAAAATGGACACCGTGTATAATACAACGTGCAAGGTTGGGGACACAAAATCCCTAGAATTGCCGGGTTCATACAGGAAAAATATCCCGGTTCTATAAAAATTGCATGCAATTGATCAGTTGGCTTTGAAGTGCAACTTTGCAATTTTCATTGCTCCATGTTAAGTGGCCTTTACAAGTGTTGACCAAACAAGGGGGGGGGGGGGGCACTGTATATACAATAACATTCAGTCTGACAGGTCAAACGGTTATTGAATTAATCTATTTATAACTAGCCCAAAGAAGAAGGTATAGAAACAAAATGAAATCAAAACTTAATTCCCGGAATAGTCAATCCAATACTAGTTAGAGACATACCACAGATATATTCTTTACGTATATCTGTGGACATACTAATGATCGCACATGATCATTCTTTGCTTTGGGATTATTATCACAAACTTTTTGTGTTGCTTGTTACTCCTTTACAGCAGCTACTTCCATCACTTTGCTTCCCCAATATAGTAGGTACATTAATTTGTATTGCCCATGTTTCCGCACCCAGCGTACACTTTCTATTTGCCTCTATTAAGTATGCATACAAACGAATAGTTATAAGTTGTATTTATGTTCCTTACAAAATGATAACAAATATATTTGAAAACTACACAACCCCACGTGAACGGAATGTAAAACACATTTACATTTAATTCTACTACACTATGATACAACAAAAATTCAAAGAATAAGTGGAATACATTTAAAGTTTAGGTGCAGCTTTAAGGAGAGGTCCCAATTTTTGAGCAAGCATAATATTTCCGGTCACTTTCAATTTGCCCTTCATAAATGCTTGTTGCGGGTTCAATTTACCAACGGCTAATTCCACGAAATCGTCATCCGATACGACCAGTGTTGTATTCGGTTTCACATCTTTTCCCGCTCCTTCGTATATCGATGCCGATTTTAGATCCATGGCTAAAACGTAATCATTTGTAACGGTGTAGTATTGCAAACAAACTTAAACTTACTCCATTCTTTAACAATTTCTCCATCCTTTGTGATTTTCACTAAGAAAATTCCATTTACGCTCTTTGCTTTATCGGGTTGCACTTTCACTTGGTCATTAATATATTCAAAGACTGCATCGCTCTTCAAAGTACTTGCTGCCAATTTATTTTGCATTATTCCTGTCTTGATAGCCTTTAGGTCAACGTAAGCACCTGGAAATTATGATTACCTTATCAATAAATTTATGGATGACAATAGAGAATTAAAGGGAAAAGTGAGGTTATAAATAAGCGGAGTAAAGTTCACAATTAATGAAACGTGAGAGGTAAATTAAACCCACTTGAATTTGTTGATAGGAAATAAAGTATCTTACCTGTAATAGCAGCGGTGCCATTCTCAACAACGATCGTTTCAAAATGAATTCGATTTCCATTTCTCCACATGTCCACGCGCAATGTTTGGCCTGGGATCACCACTTTCGTGAACCGTGCCTAAAAGTGTGACAATAAGGACGTGGAAAAACTAATTTCCCTTCTTACTTTAACCGCCCTAAAGAGCTTCCGGTCGTAAGACGCGAATGCACCCATTACTAACCGAACCGAAATACCCAACGTACACAAACCGTGCAAAATTGGTTTCTCATACCCGGCGATTGCAGAAAAGTTAGGATCGATATGCATTGGATTAATATCGCCTACACATGAGTCAGATTAAAAGTTAACGTCTAGTGCCTTACCGGATAATCTGTAAAGTGCCGCTTGGTCGATTGTTGTCTTGTAGGATAGGGATAGGTCGGGTTTACGGTCTGGTTTCGGTACACAAGGTACGATTTTGTTTCCAGTTCTGGGCCCTCCGAAGTTACCAGCGCCAACAGCAAACGTAACACACTGATTTCGCATAATCAACGCCCCTTGCTCATTGTAACTGTTAACTAAACGTTAAGTTTTAAAACTCAGATTTCAATTGCTGCACTAATCTTACTTTCCGTAACAATTGCGGCACCAGACCCCTTATCCAATGTCTCTACGATTTTGGGATTGCTTAGTAATGTACCGGCCTCGGGAGTGCTATTGTAGATCTCTAGGTATTGTTCACCATGAAGCATATTTTCAAGAGAAATTGATTTTCCGGGTATTGTATTAAGTTGTGACGAAGACATCACCGCTTGCAAACTAGGTAAAATGTAAAAAGACGGAATTGAACCAAAGTTCTCGTGATTTTCGTACAACAACTTTAACTCCTCTGGATTCTGAACGGATGCCCCCACTAATTAACAAAACACATTATCTTTGTCAAGCAATTGAAAGAAGTACCTCCGAGCGCGTACAAAATTAGATCTTTAGAAGAAAACGTAAATATATCGCCTTCTCTGGATGAGGTGGGTGGTTCTTCCCCTTGCCTTAAATGCTCCAGTTTTTCCGCCAAATCTGCAAGAGATGCCGATAGTGAAACTCGGGGAACCGCATTTTTCATGTCTGTAATCTCTGGCCATTTCGCTTCCACATTTTCAATTGTGGCAGGATCGGTGATACGTTGTCGAATAAGGCCACCTTTAGAACGGCATATTTGTGACTTCCCGGCCCATCCGGCGGCCGATTCTATTATTGTACCATTCTCTTGACAACTATCGTGGCACAAATAAGCCTGCAAACATATTACCATAAATAACTATGATATACAAAACCAGTGTGTCAGTCCTTAAAATGTGTACAGCCTTTTTTTTAAATTATTTTAATACTTAATAATAATAATAATATTTTTATTCCATGGACCGTGGTATAGGTATAGGACATGTCAAATACACATAATTACTAACAGACAAATAATATCACAGTTAAGCATGTTCAAGGAACTCTTTGATATTGTAAAAACAGTGATTATTTAAGTATAGAAGTAATCTCTTATTAAAGTTATTTAGTGTATTGCAGCATTTAATTTGTTCGGGTAATTTGTTAAACATTTTTACTCCCAGTACTCCGAAGCTCTGGATAGGACACATAGGAAATTGTAACTGGGAATTAGTTTATAATTTACAGTTGTAACTGGGAATTATGCTAATTTACAGTTGTAACTGGGAATTATGCTAATTTACAGTTGTAACTAGGAATTAGTTTATAATTTACAGTTGTAACTAGGAATTAGTTTATAATTTACAGTTGTAATTGGGAATTACACTAATTTACAGTTGTAACTGGGAATTATGCTAATTTACAGTTGTAACTGGGAATTAGTTTATAATTTACAGTTGTAATTGGGAATTACACTAATTTACAGTTGTAACTGGGAATTAAACTAATTTACCGTTGTAACTGTCAAGGATAATTCCCAGTTACAACTGTAAATTAGTATAATTTCCAATTACAACTGTAAATTATAAACTAATTC